TTCCCAGACTGTATATATATTATTATTGCTACTAACCGCATTTCTGGATCTACTAATCGTATTACCAATTGTATTATTACGTCAATACATTTATTTGCTATATTTCATTCCTGTGTTTGTCATTCATTTGAGACCGGATTTCATCCCGGAATCGACAACACTTGCAAATTGCATTCTGGCCTTCCAATTCTTACTGATGATGAGTGATTTGCATCTTGTGGTATGGCCTCTATATTTCGGCTCTCAAACTCTTCTTTGAATGGTGGATTGTGAAACCTTCACCTCTGCACTGCGGAGGTTGTTGGTGATGTCACAGACTGTTGCTTTGGGGTGTTTCCTCACAGCACTCACTATGTTTCTGTCATAAATTGCTCTTGTTTTCTTGGGTCGATCTGTTGCTCAGTACACCAGTATTACTTTTTCAGAACATTCCAACTTGTTGTATTGACTATACCCAATGTTTGTTCAATGGCTTTAATCAATTCTCCTTCTTTTCTAAGCTTCAAAATGTCTCACTTTTCTCCCATGCACAGCTCACTCGTTTTCATTTTGGTTTATCCTTTTTCACAAGAAATGCAGTCTTTACAAGTTGAACCCGGGGCTAAAACTAAGAATAGTCATTCAGAGCTATTTTATGTTTAAATAATCGATGTAAAAGGCAACACCTGGGTAACATGAAACATATGTCAGTCACGTGTTCCAATAGTTTTATGCATTTAAAAAATGGGTGGATTCCAACAAAAGATGGTATGTCCTAAGTTGTTTAAAACATCTAAAATTAAGAATCAGAAAATAAAAGCCGAAATCCTAAATACTTGTCTCATTCATCTTTTAATCTTAAACCTAAATGTCTTCAGGGAACAGCAAAATTGGCCTTGGCGTTCCAATATTTTTAGAGGTGACTGTATATGTATACTGGACTCGGATCAAGCAGCTCAGTACTGACAGCCAGACTACTCGTACATATCATTTGATTATAGTGTTGAAGGCTTGTGCAGAACGAACCAAACTTTTTTGGAGATCCGAATACAGAGAACTGGCGCATAGTATGATACAAGGTCCCCTAACAACCGTCTGCAGATTTTTATTTCAAAGATGCCCCTTGAATTGATACTCTTAACCTTTCTATTGACAATTTTTCTTTTTAGCTTAAAGTCGTTATTGATGCATTTGCACCTACTCGCAAATATCAGGTTAAAGCACAATCTTCTTCTTGGTTCAGCCGCTATAGCCCATTGAAATCACTTTTTCCGAGTCTTCCAGCGTGATAATCCCTATCACAATAGACGCTTATTTGTGACTGCTC